GTTAAATTCGCATATGCTTATATTTACATAGTTTTAGGTTAATAGCTGATAAGCTTTATAGTGATAAGCATACGCACAGGCGTTCACGCTTGATATATGCTGTGGGCAGATAAACAATCAAGCAGTGAGAGCTAATATTTCTGTGATAAAGAGAGAATGCACTAGCTAAGAGCTGAGCGGCAACAAGTGGTACTCCTAGATTCTAGGAAGACAGAGCTCTACTAAAATACCATTTTCCATATCCTGATTTTTTTTTATTTAAAAGAGCGTAACATCCAGTTGGATATGACATAACAGAACAGCTGTTCTGTAAATAAAATAGATACAGTTACTAATAGAATAACAATACATAAATACATATTCCTCTGCTCCTGTTTGTTAACAATGAATGAAGTGTGCCGATTAAACAATCTATACATACATAACCGCGATTATGTGTTTTAAGGCTCTCAGTTAATGCTATGCTTAACATACATAACAGCAGTTGCTACTAACAGCATTGCGTGAGCGCCGCGCTCTCAAAGTACGTGCTTGTATGCTGTAGAGGTCCCGAGCATTGCTAGCCAAAGCCAACTCACCAGAACACAACGACTTGTGTTGGTTGCAATCAGTCGAAGGCTGCACGCGAAGCGATTTGGTTACTTCAACGGGTTGAAAAAGCAAACTTGGATACTTTTTAATATTTGTGTGTGAAATGAAAAAAATTAAATATAGAAAAACAAAGGCAAATTAAAGCAGTTTTTCTGTAAAGCGTATAAAAGAAATTCTAGTGAAATATGTAATATATAAGTTTAATTTAAAAAATTTACAAATTCATAATTTAATTGTGTTAGTAAGTTAAAACCTATCGTGAAAGAAAAATATATTAATATAAAGCTCCGAACTATACGAAAACATTGTAAAGCTAAATTGATTATAAAAAGTGAAATCAGTGCTTCAAAATAAGAAATAAAATAAAAACATTTAATAAGCAAATTCATGGAAAAGTAATGTTTAAAGTAACACTGATTTATAGTACACGGTAATGATACTGTCATAAAAATTGACATTGAAGTCTTAATGAATTGTGTGTTTAATGAATTGTCAACAAGCACGATTTCATTCGCAGTCCTACAAAAAAGTATAAATATGCGAAGAATTTTAACTTCTTCGGTTTGAACAAAACATTGCCTTACTTCTTGTGTGCCGTGGTGTTTCTTTCTATTAAAACTCGAAAAATCAAAAGCACTTTTGTTTACTAAATTTTAACTGTACTCTATAGATACTATTCTATGATTCATTTTAATAATATATGGAGAAATATCATCTTTTATACAAAAAGTATGTTTTATTGTATTAAATACCCATGTTCCTTATTTAAATTGAAATTCAGATAGTTCATAAGCTCAGAATATTTTGATGGAGTTACTTTTCGCATAACCCAAGTTCCGTTATATGAAAAAATTATTTCTCAGCGACTGCTCCAAGTCTTCCTTTTCCTTCGTGCAATAAGTCATAAAATATGATTAGGGAAGCACGAAAGCACCAAGATGCTTTAATTTTCTTTTGTAAACACAAAAACCTTATCAGATTGTGCCACTATTTCTATTTTAAATAGCAAATAAGGGAGTAGATAGACATTTTGAAAGTATGCCCAGAAAATTCCTAAATGAGATGATGCATAATTTGACAATTGCTATGTGGAGCTTTCCATTTTACTACTTCTTATTCATCCACAGGGAGCACATGATGTGGTCGCGAGTGTTACGTTAAATGTTGTGAATTTTGATGCATTAATTTGAGTGGCAATATAAATTTAGTAATCCATACATGGCAAACTTAGGTGTGGTGAGTTAGAGATTCTGAATTTAGGAGTAGTGAGGTCCCTTTATCGCTAGTTAACTTTTTATTACCTGAGAAGGGTATATTGAGTCACCACAAAGTTTGTAACACCCAGAAGGAAACGTCGGAGACCCTAAAGAATATATTATATAAAAAAATGATCAGCATTGAGAGCTGAGTCTATTTAGCCGTGTCCGTCTGTCTGTATATACGCGAACTAGTCTCGCAGTGTTTGCGATATCGATTTATCGGAACTTCCGATATCGAACCACTATGGCATTGAGCTGCCATACAAACTGAATGATCGGAATCAAGTGCCTGTATGGAAAGTTTTGACGAGATATCTACACGAAATTTTACAAGGATTATTGCCTAACACCGTGGTGCAACCTCCGAAGAAATTTTTAAGATCGGACAACTGTAACGTATAGCTGCCATACAAATTGAACGATTGGAATTAAGTACTTGAAGAATTTGCACTTGTAAAAGTTATTAAAGTTTCGGTACAACCAAAGTTGACGTTTTTCCTTGTTCAAAAATAAATACAAAAATGAGAAAATAGTACAATTTAGTTTACGTAGACCCATTTAAATTAAAGATATGTTGTTGTCTGTAATTTTTCGAAAATTTTAAAGGCACGAATACTTTTTTATACTCATATAATTTTCCTTTCACTAATATAACCGATCGTCAGTGTTAGATGTCATATTTACATTCAACTACCACTTTGTTTATCTTAATGACATATAACCTTTTCGATCACTTTGATATGAATTTCTGAATGAAATGATCATAGAATTCTAATACTTCTTAACATCCTATAAAATTTTGTTAGAAATTATTGCAAGATCTAACAGCAATTAGTAGAGGTGAATATTTCAAAAATTATATTTTTTTATGCTTGAAGAAAGATATTCACAAAGTTTCTTGCAAATTAGTTTTTGAATGACAGTATTATTATTTCTATTATATTTTTTTTTTGCTCTCCATGAACCACTTAACTGCCTTTTGTATATATGTCCACATACGAAAACATAGAATCATTATACATATCTGACTGCATATACAAGCTATATTTTTATGGACTTCCCACGCTTCGGTCCCTAATTGCGTTCTACCCCAAGAGTCAGTTAACAAAGCAAATAACAAAGAGGAATTCAGTTTCCACAAAATTCAATGGTGCATTTAATGGTTTATGACCTCAAGTGTAGTGCTATATTCAATGAAGAAAAAGAATACAACTCAGTGGCTTTTACTGCTTTTCTATAGTGAGATGCGTGTTTGTAAATGTTGTTGGCGCAATTATCTTTTGAATGGAAAAAACATAAATTGAATTAGAAGCTCTGCGAAATATAAAACATAATTACAATACATTTGTGCACAAATTTGTTATTAAAATTTGAAAATTCAAGCATTGCATCATACTATTGGAAACATCTTATATGGTTAATAAAATTTTTTTAATTTATATGTTAAATATATATTACGATACCCCTAAAATACTCCCGAAGTGCGCTATAAGCTACAAACTTTAATTTGTTAATAAAAGTTGCTTAATAGTCCATGCGCAAAATATTTTTATAACAAACGATCTTCAAATACTTTCTTAATCATCTTTCAATCAGTGTAAAGAAAAAGCAAAATGTTTAACCAATCTATCATGTTGAAATATTTCGGAATCTATAAAACACTTAAGTCATAACAAAGTGAAAAGGCTCAAAGCATATTGAAACTAAACTAATTATATAATAATAAATATTGAAATTCCTCAACTTTCATTAGTTGTTCTGTAACATCGCATGAGTCTATTGAGAATTGTCTTAACTTTGATAGCCGCTCACTGAAGTAATTGATTTAGCAGTGGTATACATTTAGATTCGGATATGTCTTTTATGACCTGAAAAGTATATATATATATATATAAATTTATAGTTATATATATATATAAATGAACAGATTTCAGAACTAAGTCAATTTAGCCATGTCCGTCCGTCTATATATACGCGAACTAGTTCATCAGTTTCGATCTGAAATTTTGCACACATAATTTTCTCTCCAAGAAACTACTCATTTGTCGAAACAGCCGATATCGGACCAATTAAGGATATAGCTGCCATTCAATTGAACCGATCAAACTCAATATAAAAATCTTCATAAACTATTTTTTTTTTCTTATTAAAGTACACAAAAGTAAATTTTACTATGTGTTCTTGAAGAATCTTCAGATGGTGTTGCAGAAAATCAAAAAAACCTTGGTACACTCCGAAGAAAATTTAAGATGTTTAGGGACAAAACGGCGGGTGTTTCAGCACACTGAAGGCCAATTTGGCTCAGTGTTTTAGCGTTTATTGTAATGTAGAATACTCCTACCAAATATTTGAAAGAGCATATACATATGTAAGTAGTATTATGAAAAGATAATTACACAGTTTTGAGTAATTATAATGAAGAAGAAGCACTTAATCAACTAGAACCACGAATACCAAAAAATTATTTGAATTCTTTTGTGTGCCCATTTATAACCCTATCTTTTAGATCTATTCGGGCTTTTGTATGCGAAAGTTAATTCTTTACTTTAAATTATTACATTACAACTGTTGATTAAATGAATTAATGTCACCTAATTTTGTTCAGATACCTTATGAATGAATTATGAAATGTCAAAAGCATATATCATTTAGCGGAAAATAGTACTGTTACTCCTGACAATAGATATATATATATATATATAAAATTTAACTAAACATCTGCAGCCGATATAAATAAGAAAGATTTGTGCTATTAAGTTTTTACTTAAGACTCTTTTAAAACAAAGGGGTTCAGGAATATAGTTAGTTGCAAGGTCGCCATCTTAAGTAATTTCAAGAATTCTTTGTTAATCAGCAACTTTGTTAATCACCCGTTTCAACTCCCGCATAACTCACACGTAGCAATTCCATATATTTGCACTTGAAGCTAAAGCCTTTAGTAGTGGCTTTATACAAAACTTTAACCTTTAGATGTCTTCCAAATAATCTTGTAATCTTTTCTGTTTCAGAAAGACTCAAAATAGTTCAGTAAGTTAGGAAACGTTTTTTCCTGTAAGGTCAGAGCATAATATACATAAAACAAATATCTATTTAACTTTTTATATTATACTTTTATTTTTATCTACCCAACTTTTTTCACAATCATGCCAGGAGTAAACTTATACAATTTTAAAATCCAACGGTGTTAGAGAAAATTGAAATATCCAATTTCGCTATGTGCATATGAAACACATTTCGCAACTACCGCATAAATCATACTTAACAATAGCCTACATTTGCATTTGAATATTACGCCAGAATTTTTCTTGTAAAAACACGCAAAATGCCAAAGCAGTATCATTAAATTCAACAAATATATTTTACCATAGTCGTACATTTATTTCATGTCTAAATGCAAATAAACTAATCTCAGCACAAGTGCAAAGTAAACCAAACGGCAATTAAAATGACAAACAAACAGAACAAAAGAGAAAAACAAAAATGTAAAAAGAATAATATGAAAGGTCCATTAAAATATCAAAATTGATGAAAAAGCTAAAATATTTACATTCGACTGAAGTGTTTACCTTTAGTTTATGTGAGTGCTTTACAACTGAGAAAAATAAAATAAACTATAAAAGCAAGTGCAAGCAAATAGCAATGATGCAAAACAAAAAGGCCAAGAAAATTAAAAAAATATTAATATGCAAACATATAAATCAAAGCACATCAAACAATGCAGAAATCAGTGCAAACAAACAGCAAATCGATATATGCAGCAAAATAATTTTTGCATAGAAATCAACTACTCTTCGCTGCGTGTGAAAGGAAATTTATTGAACATAAAAAAGCCTACAAAAAATCAGTAGTGATTTAGAATGAAAAAGTGGCTACGCATTAATAAAAGAAAAGTACCACAAATCAAATGAAATCAACTAATTCAAAAATATAAAATTGTACATAATCACAATCAAGAGTGATTGGCAATTATTAAACAAAAATAATGTGAAATATGAATGTGAAAGTAAGTCTGAATTGTGAGTGAAAAATTTCGAAATTTACCGAAACAAAATACACATAGTGGCGTGTATTCATTTAAAGAATAAATATATATAAAAAAAACATATCTACTACACAGCATTGTACGTACGCCATGGCGTATGAGTAATTTAATATTTCAAATTCAGCGAAAAAGCGGCGTAACGGACACGCGAGCATATGAAAAATGTAACTCATTGCTGTCGCAAATTTATATTTTATTTGCAAATTTAAGTGATGCGCATTTCTGTGACCATACAGTTAGTTTGACAATCAGGCAGACAGGCAGTTGTACAACTTGTCGGAGGCTGTGACTAGCGCATTGTAATTGGCGCACGAGTTGAAAATGTAAATGCGAAAAAGTTGTTTGGTAAGTCATCTTTGGCTGTATAAAACAAATTTATATAAACATCACATATGTATAGGCATAGCTGGCAAAAAATTGTTTGTACATGTCAGAACTGTTGTAAGCTTTAAAGGGTTTATACTAATGGAGAATTTGATGTGTATTATGCAAAACTCGAGAGCTGCATTAAAGGCTTTTCTGTGCTGTGAATGTTTTCATTTTTAAAGCTATTTTAATATTGTTCGAAAGAGGATTTAAAACTGCATAACAGCAGACAATTTTTTTATTCATCTGACTAAATAATATTTCATATTGTTAAATATTTTTCTGATAACATTTTCGATGTCTATTCAATATATCTACGAGTATTAATTTTAGTCTCTATCAGTAGAATTTTTAGCATTTTTCCAACTTTCCAAATAGTTATCGCATTGTTGGCCACTTAAATAGTTTTTATTTTTACTGTCGTAAGATTATTTTGTCGTTTTTCAGCTGTAAATTTCCTGCGTCTGCAATTAATTTTAGAACAAGTAAGGAAGGGCTAAGTTCGGGTGTAACCGAACACTTTATGCTCTTGCAACTTGCAAGGATCAAATGCCTTCAAGCGCTGGCAAAACTTTAAATTAAAAAATGTTGCGAAAAAATTTACCATTCATTATTCGAAGATATCGTGACTTATTTTAAAGATCACTAACTTAACTTAATTGTATTGTTATATATTAGTTCGAGTGTACAAATGGGTTATATGTATGAGGTCTCAACTCGACCGAAAGAGGCTAAATTTAATATGGTATATATTAAGTTGATGTGGAAAGCGTCAACCAGAGGATCGGAATTCATTATATTATATTAGGAATATGATATTTAGACCAAGGTCTAGACCAATTCCATTTAAATTCGGCATAAGGTTTGTTAGAGTCACGAAAATTAATATTACTGAGGGTTGGGGTAATTCGTAGACTAAATTCACATATTTTCGGCAATAAACTATAGTATATACAATATTATACGTTTAGTTAATTTTGCTAAGATATTTTATCTAGTTTTGGCAAAAAAAAAACATGATATTAACAGAATATGGTAAAATGAATCCTGAGTACCTTCCTAAGGTACCTTACATAACATCACCAACATATATGTAGTATAATCAAACGGATGTTTGAAAATTCTATGATTAGTTATATGGCGGCTAGGGCTAGTTTTCACACTATTGTATTCATTTTAGACGCAGAGATGCTCCGTTAGGATAAAAACACCCTCACTCAATTTAATTAAGATAACTCACATATTGGCTAATATATAGAATATAAAGTTAACCGGAAGTTCGAAAATGTTTCGATATGATATAATAAATCTCACAGATTGATCGTTATTTCCGGTAAAAATTAGCACCAGGCACTGGGGTCCCCAGATTCGGTAACAGTTATGGTCCGATTTTGACAATTTTAGACTTGACATAAATATTGTCCCAATATATTCTTTGGTGCTTGATTTGTATACTGGAAAGTGTAAGAATCCTATGGAATTTAAAATAGTGTTATATGGGAATGAGGTTGTAGACCGATTTAGCCCATATTTACACTGTCACATAGGATTGTTAGGATAATTATATGTGCCGAATTTGGTTAAAATTGGTCAAGTAGATCCCGAGACATGGGTTTTCACCTAAATGTAGACGGTGTCACGACCATCGTCCAATTTTGAGACCTGCTCCTATAAAACCCCTTGTAACATCCCGGATGTAAAATTTAATGTCTCTAAAGCATTTAGCTATTGATCTATCGCACTTTTGGTAGTTTTTGATAAAGCCGTTATATGGGGAGTTGGCGTAGTTATCATCCGATTTCATCCATTTTCACACTGTCGAATGAAACAATTTACAGATATCTTCAAGTCAACAGCTTAAGTCCCAAGGTATCCCTCTGAGCCCACACAACTTTACGCATGATCAAATTCAAAACAAACTTAAATAACAGCGGCGATAGCATCACCCCCTGGACTCATACCTTATACGATAGCTATCGTCTTTATTTTAGAATTATGAAGTTGATGATTTTTTCGGGAATTCAATTGCATGCTAGGGCTCTCCAAATCGCATTTTGTTTAGTAGTGTCGGACGAGAGAGGAAAGCGCCTCGACTGCCTCTACAATCATTATTAAGGCTTTGATATGGTCTTAGCATGAGCTTATCCTTGACTTAGTCGCGCGGTCGTCTGGGAATTAGCTTTAAAAAGTTCCGGGTAGATGTCCAGTCCGTGAGCTCAGTTGGTTTCTAATGATCTGATGGCAGCCATTTCCACCATTTAATTCGGGTACGAGATGTGATGATGTGATAATGGAAAAATTTCCTTTTTTATTCTAAATAATTCTTAAGCTTAGTGAAATTTCTATTACTGTTGCTTCTTTCTGCTGGGCCTGCTTTTTAATTCATAAATTATTAATCACATTGCAACAATTTGGAACAGAACTGATATGTCCGTAAAAGATCACAAATATTTTCTATCTTCTATTCGTTTGATATATAACCATATATATATATTATTCTTTGAAATTAATAAAATACCTAAATAATGCAAAACTCACAGTATTGGTATAAATATATTAAGTTATATAAAGCAATATCCGTCCGAAAAACTATATTTTTTAGCCATTGTCCAAATTTTTTGTTGAGCTTTCAAAATATTTTACTAAAAGTGCTCTTTTTATGGACTTTAACTAAATATAATAAATAAAAGGCGATTTTTTTGTAATAAGGAAGTCAGATCATGAGGAACCTCTCGGTCAGCTAACCTTTAACAATTTTTTCACTTGAAAGCTCTTAACCAAAAATTCCATTATCACATAGAGTGTAAATTTTCGAACTTCAATTGCTGCTAGTGTCCGTCTATGTGTTAATTAAATTTTAAATAAGTATGTGATATTATAGAATACATTTAAATAAGGGGAAAACTTTGGTAATTGTATTATTTACTGATGTTGAGTCCTTGTATAAAAGCAATGGAGCTTTTTTAGCACCATAAATTATCTGGTTCATATATTAATCGTCGTTTAAATTTTCTCTTAAGGCTAAACTAGGTTAGATATTAATATATTCTGTATCCATGAAATCATTCTTAATAGACATCTGTTTTGTTTGAAAAGCAAACTGACTTAATGTAGACAACTCTCCATTTGAGCGCTACTAGTCTTGTAGTTAAGGGATGTAACTGAACATTTTTGCAGCCCGTCAGATCAGATGTTTATGATAAAAAGATTTAATGCAATGGATTAAGAGCATTGTTAACGTAAAGAAGAAGACTTTTCAAATGTTCATACCTATAACACAAAGCTACAAGCAATCAGGCTTAATATTTGGATATGTTTCAGTAAAAATATGTTACTATTTCCACTATTTTTATTTTCAATTATTAAATTTAAACCCTAAGGTAAGCGAATTTTTTTTTAAATTCGCAAAAACACTACGAATAATTTATTTACCTTTTTCATCTACAATTCACATTCAATTCACCATATTCTTTTATATTTTAATACAATTTCGTTGAATTCCCATTGCAAACTTCAATCTTGCCGTACAACATCAAAATAGCACAATCGCGTGGCTAGACGACATTTTATTCCAAATCGAATTATTCATTGAAGGACACAAATAAATTCAAATCAATTCTTTAGACCTAATTCACACTTCGAAATACACACGTACTATGTGTGTCAAACACGGCAGAGCAAACATGTCCCCATCAACAATACAAGCAAATAAAGCCGAGCACACAATGCATGTCAGGTATAAAAAGAACAATGCACTGAAGAGACATGTTAGTTGATTCTATGCCACTTGTTAATTCTTTCACTCCCTCTCGTTGTCTTTCTCTGCAAAGCTGTGTGAAAACTTTAACTGAAGAAATCGCCGATAACCTGTCGGCACCGCTCTTAGCACAAGCAACCAAATGCCATCGGCTTGGCGTGACTGTGCACCGAGATGGGGGGTTTTTGTTGCAACCTTAGGCATGTCGAGTGTGAAGTTTACAGTTAGATTGTCGTGCTGGTGAAGGCATCACAAATGTCGATTGCACAAAAGAGCTGTGATTGTTCAGCCATCAAGGTGCCAACATTGTGTTTCTAAGCGTGTAAATTGAGCGCCAAAATAGTCCGATTGCCTTCAAAAAAATATTATGTAAATGGTCTTTTAATTAATTTTAAAAATTTATATTAAAATAAAAGAATATATAAGGTTTATTTTTGTATATTCACGAAAATAATGTGAATAAGAAAATTATCGAACCAATAGGCTCCAAAAGTATTCTCATTCTATTGATATACAAATTCGGCTGAACTTTTGCCATCAAAACCTATTTGATTTATTATATGAATAAAGCTACCACAAAAACTAAGAAATATAAATACGAACTTATTTGAAGTCGACTTGTCGAGCTTTTGTTTCTTAATTTTGATGCTTTAATAAGTCTAATGCTTATAGCTATTTTATATAATTTGGGGAAGTACCAAAACTCTCTTGCAAGTTAGGTTAATATTATTTGTTATTTAAAAAAATATGTAAACTAGGAATATATTAAACTGAAGTTTTACTTAAACTGATTCAGTTTGCTTTCATCTGAAAATAATATCAAAATCGTTTATAATTAAACGAAAATGGTAGAAAATTTAGTTTGGTATGTTCCCCAGAGAAGTAGAAGAAGAAATAAAGAAAAAAGCAAATGGATGGCAAAGTCAACTACAACAAATAAATTTAAAGTATAAATAAAAGTGCATCAATGTTTCTTCGATATTAACTTCCGCCGTTATATTAGAGAATACTTCAAAGTACTTCAATCAATCTGACGAATCTCTATGTTTCCACCACTTAACTTAAGCAAAAAAAAATCCAAATTCAAAAGTGATTCCTATATTTGAGAATATTCACAGAAATTTAAGTCGCGGTCCGGCAAATAGAAAACAAGAGCATGCAAAATCATTAAAGTAAATGGCAATTAAGGCTACCCCGGCTTTATTAAAAGAGTTTTTCACTA